CGTAGTGGCTCGTAGCCTCGCCTGGTACAAATTGGTGTAGCCACATAAACCACTGCAGCGTTACTGACAACTGATCCACTCCGACTCCAACTCCGCTGAATTTACACCACATGATAATCTTGCCAAATAAATTGATATATCATACTCGGATTTGTAGATGTAGAGCTTACACTGTTGCTTTTATGGCGTAGAAGAAAATGGATTTATTAAGTAAACTGCATGTAGTAGATGCATTTTGTTCTTTGCTAGAACGGCAAAACCTGATCAATTATTTGTTCCTTAATCCCCTAGATTAATCCTGCCGTATGAAAGATTTATTAAAGGAGAAGAAGATAAGCCACTGCCTCCAGTGAAACCTCGAAAACAGGATAACAGTTCCCAGGAGGGTGAAGCAAAAACAAAAGTGTCTGGAACAAAACGCATCAAAAACGAAAACCAAAAGAGCAAGAAGGAAAAAGATAATGCACAGAAACCCCAAGATGCATCTGAGGTTGGTTGCTTTCCTGCTTTTCAACTTTTCAATTAAAAATGTACAGCTTTAATCTCGTGAAATCCAATGATAAAATACATAATTTAAACTGGAGAATTCCAGCCAGTTGGCCTTTGAGTTTGCTCAGCAATGGAAATTCAGTTGTTGCGGTACTGTCTGCGTTGGGATTTTGCTGGGCTACAGACAGCAACCGGTTAGGTCCACACTGCGTAGCAGTGATGGCAGGAGACCAAGCACTGGATGTAACCAGTACCATTTCTGCTTATTGTGTTATACAGTGGTCGCCACTAAAAGATCAGCAGCTGCCAAAAGGAAACCACACAACTACCACAGTTATTTCCTAATCTAAGTATAGGGTGCAGGAACCTCTAATACTGTTGATAATACTGTGGTAACTGTTGGACACAGCTGATTTTTATAACGGTAACCTCTGGATCAGCCCTTTTGTGGCACAGATGTGTGCACATCTGTCGAAAAATGTATCGCTCCCCCGGATTTTTATCGTGTTATACTGAATTTCTCTTTGAACTGAAAGGTCAGATTTTGAGGGAACCACCTCCCAAGCCCTAACTGAGACCAACTTCCCTCTCAGGTGCCGCAGGTGTTTTTCAGCTGAGGTGGTTTCCTGTTGTGCCACATGCTTCACATGGGCAGACCCCGGTTTCCACGCATAGCCACGTTACCTGCAGACGCAGGACAGCTCTCGTGGAAGAGATGTTATGTCCACAGCATAAGATAGATCAGTAGGATTCATATTTGCCTGCAAATAAGGGTAAATTTCACATATTGCTAAGCGATACAAAATCAATGGGGTTTTTGCTCCAGTGCTACTTCAGCACTTGCTTTTGCCTGTCCTGCGTGCTCTCCCCTGTGCCCCGTGTGAAAGAGTCGTGCCCCGTGGGAGCGAGGCGGTGAAGCTCCTCGCACACAACCCCGGCACAAGACGTTGCTTTTCCTGTCTCAGTCTGCCAGGTCGCAGCAGCCTTCGAGGCGTTGCAGTGAAAGTAAGTATGTAAAGAATGCCGAAACATATGACGTGCCCGGCAGACTGTGGCTGCTCCTTTGACTTCATTGCCATCTGGCAGGTACATAAGTCCTCTTTCTAAACCGGTTTGGAAATAGGTATTGAGCCAGCTACCAAAAGTCCTCCTCCTCATTGTTTTAAAAAAACAATGCAGGACTAGTAGGCACAGATGCCTTAGACTTTGCGTACCCAGTTTTGAGAACAGAAGATTTAGATTTTCATGTCCCACTACCTCTTTCAGTTGTGCTTACACGGGCAATTTCATCTCCCATCCAAACCAGAATTTATGTTTTAAATTGCCTTGATCAACAGTACCTTTAATATCTAATGTGAGAGCATTCCACAGAGAGGGGAGGGTTTTTTTGTTTTCTCTCACACTATATTTTCAGAGCAGGGAACCCTGTTGGGGAAAAAAACCCCTTTGCTTCTGAGGAAAAATACTTAAGAGAGGAGAGCGCGCACAAACCCACTTCAGTCACTGGAAGGCTGCAACACGAATTGCCCAAAGCAAGGAGATGCGAAGCAGAGGCTTGTGCTCCCTTTCCCTCTCATTCCTTCATGCCTGGTTATTTATCAAGGGGTCTTGGATCAATAAGATACGTTACACGCTATCCGTACCGCCGCCGCTAAGCACAACATAACAAGTCAGCAACAGAGCGTCAGCCTTAACTTTGAATTTCCTTGCTTTTGTTGTTCCCTATCTCAAACTTCCTGCTGCTTAAACTGCAGTTATTTTTGTGTGGTTTGCAGGAAGAGTTCTTAAGCTGCGTTTATCGGAAATGTAGGGAGCCTAGACGAGACAATAAAAATGTACAATTGTGGCACATTCCTATTGTAAAATAGTACCTTTTGTACCAGAATTAATGTCTCCTCCCTGACTGGGATGGAAGACGTGTCCTGCCCCTCTTTAATCAGGGTGGGTGATCAAGGACCTCAGCTTTCCTGCAGGTCACCGTACAGGTAGGTGGTCACATGAAGCCCGAGCAGCGAAGGAGCCCGCAGGGCTGGACGCTCCACCCTGGGTGGAGTCCCTCTCACTCCAGCCATCCCCAGCAGAGGAGCCCCGTGCCAGGCTCCGCATTTGGGTGCAGTCCTCATCCGGGCACAGCAGTGGTGGTGTGTTGCTCACGGGGAGCCTCTGTAGCCACACATGCAGGCGTGTGGGCACGGTGCCAACCGAGCCACCGCTTCAGCCACCTCTGCCCGTGGCCTGGGAGCTGGCCGCGGCTGTTAGCTGTAAACGCGTCATCGAGTTACAAACGCACGGTGCTCTCAATTGCATGTTCAACTCATACACCATGAGAAGTATGCAGGGAGAGAATATAACTTTAATTTTTTAGAGTCGCATTTGCTTTCACTGTTTTGCTGCCGTCACAAAGACATTGTCAATGTAAGGAGAGAGCAGACAAAATGCTATTAGCCTTAGACTGTGCGTTTCCTCACAATAGCTGAAACTTCAATCAAAATGTTGCTTAACAGAAACAAAGAGCAGAATGTACAGTTATTAAATATGATTTCTCTCTTCTTTTCCTCCTCCTTGCTTTGCTCATCTGTCTGGTATTTTCCTGTAATTTTATAAGCTCAAGGGACCAGCGATGGTACTTTGTAAAGGACCTAATGATGGTATTTGGCTGCAAAAGGCAGCCATGAGTTTAAAAAGAAGAAGTTAGGATGACTAACAGACACTGTAACTAATGGCCAACCAAATAGACAGGAATATTTAAAAGCAGCTGTGAAGAAATAAATCTCTGAGAGGGTTAGATTCGTTAGGACCTTCTCCGATCTCCTGCTCCTTTGACAGACCATAAAGCAGCATTTAGATAATAACTTTCTCAATGCGTCTTATCTTTACAACGAAGAAAGAAAGAAAACAATAATAATAAAGGGCTCACACAATGCTGCTGTTTTATGACTGTCTTCTACCACGACATGTCAGAGGAGAGTGACAGCAGTTTTGAAAAGGGCTGTCAGTCAGCTGGATCGCAGATGGGACGCTCTGGTGACCTCTGCGGGTCACAGTTCAGCCGGCTACATAATGGGATGAATAGTGTGAATTGTGCACACAAGCTTTATTAACGGGGGAGCAGAAAGAGCTGTGGTCCCATTGACGATAACGTATAAAAGCCATGTTTGTAATAGCGGGCACACACACTTACTGAATGTTGACAACTTCATTTTAATCCGTTAATAAAAAAATGTGTGTCCTAGTTAAGCTGTGGCAGTGATTTGCTGCCTACAATAGGGATTCCTAGTATGCCATTTCTATCATTTTCACACTTTAATGCAGAACTGGGTGTGAATGATCTCCTCTGTGATCGCTGAATTTTAAGATAGCTACGCTAGAGAGACTTTATGTAAGAAGAAAACATGGGAATCGTGTCATTTTCATAGGTGAAGTTGGCTAGCAGGAGAAATTTCTATAATTTCTTCTGTGTTATGAAATCTGCTCACCTGCATTTGCCTAATTAATTTTAAAAGAGTATAACCTCAGCATACAGCTATCTGGTCAAGCCTCTGATGCCTCTCATCAGGTTACAAACATCTGCTGTTTTGAAATGCCTTATTGTGACCCTGGCAGGGGTGGTGCATTTCTTAATATTTCCAGGAGGTGCATCTCTTTGTTTGAGTCCAATACCTGGTGTTAGAGCCTTCGCCTTCCAGCAAGGTGATTGACAAGTGCTTCTCTAAAAGTAGCCAGCGGTGTTCTGTGTGTGATCTTACGAACAGCCTGCCCTAACGCACCGCGTTCTTATTACTGTCTGTTGAATCGTTTTATTAGGTTTCATCAGAACAAGAGAAGGATCAAGAATCAGCAGACCAGAAGAACTTCCCTGAACATCCTACAACAGGAGAGATGAAACAACCCGTGCAAGGCCCCCCATCTCTTTTACCAGAGACAGCTCGGCCGCTGCCTCTGGAAAAGACAGACCCGACAGAAAACATCACAAACAGTGAAAAAGCCAAGGAGGAGGTTCAGCACTCATCCTCTTTCTCAAGTATATCCATGCCTCCAGAAGACGACACTGTGCTGGATGCCACCGTCACGAAACGACCACATCCCCCAGCAGATGCCCTGGAAGACACAAAGCCTGAGCAAAGACTGCACAAAGCTTTCACTGACAGCTTAGAAAGCGAACCTCCAGAAATGCCCTTCACGACTTTCCCGGTCCAGCTGCCTGCTCAGAGCGACGTGGAAGACGACAAATTGCCAGAGATGGCCGATTACATCGCAAACTGCACTGTGAAAGTGGACCAGCTGGGAAACGAAGATATCCACAACGCACTAAAGCAAACGCCCAAAGTACTGGTGGTCCAGAACTTCGACATGTTCAAGGAAAAGGAGCTGCCCGGGTCCATGAACGACGACTCCACTTTTGGTTACACGCCGCTGCTCTACTCCAAGGGTAATCCAGGCATCATGTCACCCCTGGCGAAGAAGAAGCTGCTGTCACAGGTCAGTGGGGCAGCCCTGCCGTGTAGCTATCCTTATGGTTCTCCTCCCCCTTTGATCAGCAAAAAGAAACTGAACGGCAGAGATGAGCTGTCCTCAAGTATATCGCAAGGTCCCCATGCCCCTAATACCGATCCTGTAGCAATTAATAGGCCCTCAGTCATACAACACGTGCAGAGTTTTAAAACCAAGGAAGAAAGGAAATCGATTAATGACGTTTTTAAACATGACATGCTAAGTAAACCAGATCCTCAGCGCTGTGATTTTTCAAAACATCACCTCAGTTCTCTTGCCGAGTCATATATACCGAAGACGGATATGCAGGACTGCAAAGATAAAATGAGTGAGAAAAGGGCACTGCAGCACTCCCATGTCCCCACTTTCTTGGCAGATTTTTATTCATCACCTCATCTGCACAGCCTTTATAGGCACACAGAACACCACCTTAATAACGAACAGACATCAAAGTACCTCCCCCGGGACATGTTCAGAGAGTCTGAAAATATTTCTACTTTTACTCAACACAAACACCAAGAAAAACTAAATTTAAATTATCGCCCATCTTTGCATCAACAAGAAAAAAAGGCAGCAGTGGAGGCCTCCTCAGATGATCAGCCAACAGATTTGAGTCTTCCAAAGAGCATACACAAACAGACTGCAAAGGCTCCAGGCTCCAGCCTCCCTCATTCATCCATGGCCCCGCAAGAAGGCAAAGGTATCTCCCCGTTCCAGGCTGCGAGCAGCCAGGCAGTGAGCCTAGACTGTAACCCCAAAGCTTGCCGCGTGTCCCCCATGGCCATGACAGCCCCGAAAAAACACAGCGAGTTGCTCCACAGGTCTGGGAAGCAGCAGGCCCAGAGGCTGGAGAACCTGAGGAAGATGGAGGGGATGGTGCATCCTATCATCAGCCGCAGAACGAGCCCTCAAAACGTGGGGGCTGCCCGGCCTTTGAAACGGAGCCTGGAGGATTTGGACAAAGTCATTTCAGAAAAAAAAATCCGAGCTGTCTCTCCTCTGCACTTACCAAAGGAGACCGCGGTGAAAGACAAGGTTCCCGACCCAGAGGGGGAAGGCAGCAAGCCGGTGCACGGCCTCCACTCCAGCAGCGTGCTGGAAAGCCACTCCCTTCCGGCCCCCATCTCCCCAGGCTTGTCCCCGGGAAGCCTGTGCACGGGGCTGAACAATCGCCTCCCGCCCGGGTATTCTCATCCCCTGCAGTACTTGAAAAACCAGACCGTGCTCTCCCCGCTAATGCAGCCTTTGGCTCTTCACTCCTTCATGGTGCAGAGACAATTCCTCACGTCCCCTGCAAACTCCCAGCAACTGTACAGACACTTAGCTGCAGCAACACCTGTAGGAAGTTCCTACGGTGACCTTTTGCATAACAGCATTTATCCTTTAGCTGCTATAAACCCTCAAGCCGCATTCCCACCTTCCCAGCTGTCCTCTGTACATCCCAGCACAAAACTGTAAACCCCCTCGCTCAAAAAAAAAAAAAAGGTCTGAGGAGAAAAGTTAAGTTAGCGACATTCCTCCCCCTGTGACGATGTCTCGCGGATTCAGCCATCGGTATTTCGGTCAACCGGGATGCAGTCGTACCCCGCCCAGCGGAGCGCTTCGGAGTTTGGAGATGGGACTGCTCCTTTAATTCTGGGTCCCACATCAGCCCCCTCGCCCCTTATCCCTGTCCCTGCAAAAAAAAACAAACAAAAAAAACCAACAAAACAAAACAAACAAAAAAAGAAAAAAAAATCATTGAATTTTGCGTATGTTTTTTCTGAAAGGACTCGTATGCGGTAAGAGCAGATGTTCAAAGGGAGCCGTGGAAATGTGGGCTCGGTCCTGAGCTCACCGAAACCCCCACAGGGGCTGCGGTCGCCTTTCGCGCTGAGCGAGGACCAGGGGCCGTGCCTTGTGGCAAGTCAGTCAAGAACTCGAGGTGAACCTGGCAAGGAGAAGTGGGCCAAGAATCCGTACAATCAGTGGATGTGCTTTTTTTTGGGGGGGGGGTAACTTTTCCTGACTTTTAAAGATTCAATCAATGCAATGTATAGTGAAACGGCAATAGATTTCTCATTTTAACACTATTAGAACAGAAGGGTAAACACTGTTTAATTTGACTGTACATATCCACTTCGTAAACTACCAGTGTCACATTTGGTCACAATAATTTATATAGTTTTGTTTGTCCAGTATATTCTGTGCTCTTTATGTTTGGGGTTTTTTTTTTGTTTGTTTCAGGTTTCTTTTTTTTTTTTAAATTAAACAGTATCATTTTATCTGCAACTTTTTTTAAAGGCTGTGGCTGTCCAAATTTTTTTTTTTTTAATATGTTTGTAATTTTTCCAGTTTCTTTATACTTTTGAGCAGCATTTTTGTTTCGTTTTTGTGGTAACGTTTACTGTTTACAAACTGAAGCAACTGGTTCAGATTAATCTTAATGGTTATAAACATACTGTAGGTGAGGTCACGGTGCAAGGATGCGAACAAGGTTCCTTTCCCCATGGTCCGCCCCTGCGAGGTGCTGAGCACCTCTCGCCCTCCTCCTGTCATTTCGGTGGCTCCTGCGCCGCTTCCCCCCGTCCCACCGAGCTTCGCTTTCCCGTATCGTGGTCTGTGAATTTGTCAAGCATTGTACTTAAGCTTACCTGGGCTGTGAAACCCTCCTGCCTACCTGAGAAAACGGTCTTGGAAACAAAACCTCCCTGGCACAAGCTGCTGGATGACAAAGGAGTCCAGAAACCACATTTGTAGTTTGCGAGAATGTCGAGAATTTCAGAAACTAGGACGGGTGCCAGCGTTGATGCGGATCAGATGCTTACGGGGCCCGGGCCAGGTGAGCGGCCGGGCTTGGGAGGATGGGTAGGGGGGTCGCGTGCGGGGGTCAGGATGGTCCTTCCAGACCCCTGTGGGGATCTCAGCCTCTCCCTGGGCATCCTTTCGCAGGGGGAGAGCCCGGGCGTGGAGGGGCTGGGTTTTCCTGCGGAAAGAGCTTCCCTATGGCTGTGTGTTCACTTTGAAGGACATCGCCGCCACGCAGCTGAGCGCAGGCGTCGGTAAAGCAAAGTGTGACGCGGAGGCTTTTTACAATGTGAAAGTTGGTCGCGACTCAAACGGTCTCAGTTACTGTTCAAAGACAGCGTAATCAATAACGAAAAGAAAAATGGAAACTACTAAGAAACACTTTGCATGCTAGGCATGTCATTAAATTTTCCCGTGATATGAAGCCAAATACAATATATAATGTATCATACTTAATATCCAAAGGTGGAAACCAGAATAATATACTCGTCTACTGTTAAAGATCCAGCTTCTTCAATTAAATACTTTATATTCCTGTGGTAAAACTATATTTAATTGATTGATAAACAGACTAGTAGAACTTAGAACATGGATGTGCCAGTGCAGAGCATCTTGCTGCTCCACAAGCCATTCAGGAGACAGAACCGCAGGCTCAGCCGGGCGGAGGCCACGGTGCGGAGGACATCTCTAGTAAAGTTGCACTAGATCTGAATCACGTGAGAATCAGGGGTTTGGGGATGGGGGGAAGAGGGAGGGGGGAAGGGGAGAGAATATAAAACTCTACAGCAAACGCAAACAGAAGCTTGTCGTGTGTTTGGCGAAGCAAACGCTTCTCTTTCTCGTTTCGGTTAAGTTGTGTGTTCCTGGAGTTGCGCATTCATTTAAGCAAAGTGTCCGATTTCCCTTTTGGTTACCTCCTGTTGGAGTTTGGTGGTAACCTTTTTGGAGCTGCGCTGAGGCAGCACGGGGCTGGGGGAGAGGGGAGGAAGGCTTCTGGCTTGCCCTGCAAGGAGACCGGCTGCGGCTGGCTGGGGAAGCATGTAACACTGGGCAAAACGTCAGGGCGAGGGGAAAGAAATGGTAGCATAAACCCCCAGCAGAAGCGGTGCATTATTTGTTTAAAAACTCTTAACAGAAATCTTGGAAATCTTTCAAAAGACTGTTGAATTCTCCACTGGCTGAAAAGTCTTTATTTTTTTTTTTTTAATGTCTTAAATGAGGCTTTTGTTTGCATTGTCTGAGTTCAAGGGGCCTTATTGCTGAATGAAATTGCACAAGCCTTTCTTTGTGCAATCAAACCATTGTTATTGGTAGGTTCGTAAAGGAAACTGTGGAATCTAATTGGCAATAGAGTCATAAATCTATTAAACGGGAGCCGGTTCCAAGAAATGTTGCAATTCAAACGCACTGTGTCCAGGATTCATTAGGGATACTAAAGGTTGTGAGATCCAAAGGAGAAGACCGGCAGCAAACAGCTCGCGTGTGGCTCCTGGCCGCGCGCTGAGCCGGGCTTCGCGAAACGTGTGGGAAGGAGGGTCTGGCTCCCGGTAAATTCCCCACCCTGGGCAAGGCTGGAGGCGAACAAGCTGGCGTTTTGTGGCGGGTCTGTCTCGGCCGCGTGCTGGCCTGATGCAGGGAGTCTGCCTGGTGTGTCGGTGCCCGGGATGTAGCTCGTCCCAGCTGCCGCGGGGGGAGCCGCGGGCGCCTTTTTTTTTACTGCTGTGCCTGCCCCCGCCAGCAGCCCTGCCCCGTTTGGGGGGCGCAGGGCTGCCGCCTCCGGAGACCGCCGCCGGGACCCCTCGCCGCTCTCCCGCCCGCTCCCTTCCGTGGCGGCGGTCAGTGAGGTCGCATCGGGTCCAGTTTTGGAGTTATGATTTTAACGAGTGTCGGGACTTCTCGCGCTGGTGTGAGGCGGCTGCGTTGGCAGCGCTGCCGTGGGCGCTTCCCGCGGCGTTTGCTGTACGCGTGGTTGAGGTTTCGCTCGTTCTCTTCCTCCTCCTCCCCTCTCCCCCCAGCCCCGCAGTTTTAAATATGTTCTAATAATGGCAGCATAATCTACTAGCTGTTTATACTTTTTTAACTTTCTGTTGATGTAAATATTGTATACTTTTTGTGATTCAAGTTATGTAGCCTATATGCTCTGTAAGGTGATGATTTGTATATATAAAAATGGCCCAGTAATATTATATAGTTTCCCATTTAAAAGGTTATTGAGTAACCTTTGTGTTAGTTTAAACACTACCAGAAATAAAGCTGAGCCAACTATAAACACTCAATTTTTGTATGTTTTCCAAATTGTACTTATTAATGCTTTTGATACTGTATTATGTGCCAATAGTTTCCCAATCACATAGCAGGCAAAAGATATTTTGTACTTTTTGATCCACTGTAATATTTAATAAAAAATGTTACTATCTGTTCCCTTTTGTGTTTGATTAATAATTCCGTAAACAGCCCTTATCGCAATGGATTACATATTATCCCATCCGACCTTTCAGCCCTCTTATATTGGCTTTTCTAGAGAAAATATCTCCTCCTGCAAATGATTAGATTAAAGAAATGGAAGTTTGCTATTTCCTAAAGGAGGAAGAGACAAGATCTTCAGTCGGTGCCCCTCTATTTTTGCAGTGTGCTCGCGTTAAAGCGTGGCAGTGGCCAAGTTGACAGTAGGAATAGCTTTCGAGGGGGGTAACAGCCATCCATAGCCAGTGGCTCCAGTAGCAAATTTGCTTCATTTGCAACTCAGAGCAGGATTTTTTTTTCCGGCAGTATTGCAGCCTCAAGCTGGGACCCGAAAATCACCCTAGTTCCTCCGGCTCACCACGAGAAGGAGTTTGGAGTCAGATGCTAACTGGTAATTTTGCTGATGACAGTAAACAGCCACCAAATAAAATTAATTTGTACTCTGTTCCTTGACAGGTCCAAAAAGCTCCCCTAAACTTGGTCGCCCTTTGAGAAGCCGTTATCACAGCAGTCGGAGTGCTGTCACGCACCTGCTCTCTCTGGCTGAGAAAATCATCTCCTTGCTGTAGGTCGGGACTGGGTACCACCCTCGCCTGGCAGCAGGGCTGGCTGTAGTCCCAGATCATGGCTTAACAACGTGGTCCTGAGGGGTGTGTGTAGGGGGGAACCTTCCCCATCCATGGGAGTCCCAGGAGCTGAAGTCTTGAGCTCACAGTGGTCCGAGGCTGCTGCTGCTTCATGCATCTGCGCATGGCTGAGGCTGTTGGCAGCACAAGCACTCGCCGGTGCCCCAGGAGCTCTTTCCCACTCGGCATCTCCAAGAGCAGTGCAAGCCACAGGCCGAGGCTGGGATGCAGCTACGGTACGTGCTGCTGTTGACAATGTAACCCCCAGCACGTGGGGAAGAATGAGAGCACGGCACGCAGCGGGGAGGCTGCTCCCCTGACCGTGCTGTAGCCAGGCAAGCACGGGCCAGGTTGATGTCGCTGTTGGATGAGGCTTCCGTATATGCAGTGCGGTTGAGGGAAAGTCTCAAAAAGAAGCATTTATTGTGTATGCTGGGAAATGAGGGGAAATACCAGCTCCGGGGGAGAGGTTGGGCACGCGTGAAGCAGCGCAGCGCCATTGAGCGCCACGGGCTGCGTCAACACAGAGGCTGCATGTGCCCGGGGGAAGCCAGGGTGACATCTGCCTGGTCCCTGCACAAAGCTCCGCGGAGCAGCTCCACGTGGCCCTGCACTGCCTCTCTGGTGGGGACGCTCCAGGAGTGGGCGTGAGGGCAGGACATGGTGTGGCCCACCGGCGCGGCTCCCAACAAGGTGCTTCCTGAGCCAGCGAGAGGGTCACGGCTGCACGTCATCGCCCTCAACAAACTCTCTTCTCTTTGATGTCTGAGTCTTCATTCAATCATTTGCTCTTCAGAGCAGGCTCTGCAAGGACTTCCATGGTTTCAGTGTGCACTGTGTATAAGCAGATGGAATAAACCTTACAGCTGGATCCTGGGGCATGTGGCTGGTTGCAGATGCTCTGCCAGCAGCTGTGGCCCCTGCCAGCCTCTCAGTGCTGACACCAAACCCGTGGTGACACCAACCTGTTGGGAACGGGGCCCTTCCTCTCCTCCTCTGCTGCACCAGAGCACCTCCTTTGCTCCTTAAAGAAGTTTTCAGGAACATTTTTAGGAAGTTTCTGCTGCCAGGAGGAGTGGCTCACACACAGCCGTCACCGGTGATCCTCACCGACACCATCATTGCGCTGGAAATCGCAGCACTTGCCCATAGGCTTTCCAGGAATATCAGCTACCTTTGGCTCTTTCCAGAGCAAGGAAACTGGAGCCTGACTCTCTGCCTTCCCCAGTCTGGGTAGGCTCACAACCGAGGTGCTCTTGGAGCATGTTGCCTCTCCAGCTGAAGAGAAACCTGGGAGGGCTGGATGGCCTCGAGGAGAGCAAAAGGAGTGACCACCAAAGCATCCACGGTCTCCCTTGTGTTCATCCAGACCTGTGGCTGCTTGAGGTTTGCATT